GTCTCTCTCTCTCTCTCTCTCTATATATATATATATATATATATATGTGTGTACTACTTAGAAAATTAGTGATTTCATCAAATTGCTGTACAGCATTATAGTTGAAATATTTTCTATGATGAAGTGTGACAGTAGTTTAATAAAACCAATTAGAAAAGGGATATAATATACTCTAATACTAATTATCAACTCTTTAAACAAAAAAAACTGGTCATAAATTCAGTATGATTCACAGACTGATAGACTACATGTGAAAATTTTTGGGAATCACACCTTGTTTAGAATAACCATTTATTAGATGCATTGGCACAAGCAAAAAATATTTAGACAAAATGGATTCTTATAACCAATAGAAAGAGTAGAATTCACTGTTAGTCTCTCCAGGGTAAGGAGACACAAGTAATAGATTATTTTTCAAATCACAAACATATTTCCATTGGTGTTCATTGTGGATATTGGCATCCCCCAGTGAGTAAACTGTACTGGCTTGATGTGGCAGTAAGGAAAAAGGACAGAGTGTCTTTTGCACATTGCAGTTTAAGAACTATTGCACATTGCAAATAGGAACTGAAGTAGACAGTAGTGTTAGTGCAAATTCAGAAACACTTGTTGCTTAACACTGTAGAACCAGGTGAACTGTTCGGCTATACCGACGCTAATAGTCTTGGATTATTATAATCTATTGTAAATTCACTCGTATATTTAGCAAATTGTTTTCATTAATTATAAGCCTAATCATATATTTTTGTATAGATTAATTTTATATTTTAATATACAGTTCTCTGGGGAAAGACTTAGTAGAATTTAGCTTATGGGGGCAAAACTTGGAGATGCATTTTCTTTAACTTCACATATTAGATGGAGGATGATTTTTACAGGCTTTTTTCAGGAAAAAAGTGTCTTTTGTGCCCTAAAATATGGTAAGTGTTTGCAGCTAATCTCTAGAACCCTATTGAGTCTCCATTAGGGGCCCCCAATATGAAAATTTTTGAAATGAATATAATATAGATACTTATTTTGAATAATTCCTTGCATGTCCATACAGCTTTAATACAAATAAACAAGTGCAGTCAAAACTGAGAGTTATCTTAACCCCACTGGATCCTCTTTCAGGGACCATAGCATGAAAATTTAATAAACCTCAAGAGAGAAACCTATTTTAAATCTCTTACATGTTTGTGCCAGTTTTTGTGTAAATTGTGTAATCCAGTCCTGAGACTCCTGTGGTGGTTCAAATTTAAGAATTTTCAAATCTTGATTAAGATTAGAATAGCTCCTTTTTGTTAATGTCAACTTTCAAATAAATTGGTTCATTTATAATTTTTTTAATAATTTTTTAAGGCATAAATAAGTCGATAAAGTAATTAGCCTGATATTGATGGAAGTATTTACCCTTACAGTTTATTACAGTATGTATTTTATTAATACATTTGTTAGTTTTTATAGTAAAATTTAGTGAAGTAAAACAATTTATCTTTGTTTCTGCTGCAGCATTATCGACGTGGATGGAACAACCAATTTGTGATGTTTGACCCAGAAATAACTGCTTGGAAATGGTTGACATATGATGTAACTATGTTTCTTAAAAGTTCTTTGGTAGTTTATACTAAGCTAGTGAAAACTGTATTATAAGTACAAACTAACATTAAATTGTACAAAAGCTACTTGTAAACAACTTTTTATGCAGATGTTAAACACTGTATGTGTTATAAGGAGTATAAACTAACATTAAAGAGAACAAAGACTACTTGTATAAGACTTGGTATATAGATTTTAAACATACCTAGAACTCTGTATGAAATAATCACTTTCTTAGATGGTTTTTGTCCATGAAAATCTGCATCATTTGTGAAAACAAGAGTTTTGTATTTCATTTTCATCCATGCTATCAATTTTGATTTATTTTGTATCTAAATTCACTAAAGCTTTTATAAGATCATGATAGATTGGAAAGGAATTACAAACGGTGACTCAAGCCCTAATAATGGTGAGTGTCAGAGTCATCTCTAATATTGAATTTAACAAAGAATTTAAGCAAATGATAAATGGACAGATTAGCAAAATGTGTATATGAGATAGTATTTCAAACAGATGTAAAATAGATTATTGTGTCTGTGTGAAGAAGTGAAATTTTCTAAAAAAAGAAGTCTATTCTAGGTAGCATTTTAAAGTGCCATGTAGTTTATTTAACATCCTGTAATAGATGAACTGTAAAAATTGGCAAAAACAAGTGGCATTGTTAGCTAATACACTGTAATATGAAACATCCTATAGTAGGTGACATGTTGAACAATGTACTGTAAAACTTGTCAGAAATGTAGCTGTTGTTCGCTAGTATTTTAGGATATGAAATAACCTGCATGATTATGAAAGACAGATGGGTGATTAACTTCATTAATTGACTATCTTAATTAGTGTCACAAAAATACAATATGCCAAAAATGATGCTACTGTTAAGTACTAGGTTGTAATATTAAAGATTGCATAGTAGATGACATGTTCAAAACTAGCAAAAAAATATTGCTGTTAGATATTACATTGTAATATGAAACATCCTATATTAGATGTTATATTGAATAATGTTCTGAAGATATACTTCTGTTAATAATGTGTTGTTTTCAGGGTACAGCACCATTGCCAAGAGCAGCTCATGCTGCTGCTCGAATATCAAACCGAGTATACATCTTTGGTGGTCGATATAGAAACACGAGAATGAATGACACTCACTGTGTAGATATGACAACTTTAACTTGGAGTGGAAGGTGAGAAAAAAGTACAAGTCTAAAAGAACATTAAGTGATAACTTAGTATGGATAGTGCATCTTGGAAAAGCTTTTGTTTTGCAATGGTACTTTGTGTTGAAAAGTTTGTTTGTATTGTAAATAAGATTATGGATTTAAATATAACAGGAAAACATCTTGACGGTGTGAAAAACTTAGACAGAAGTCAACAATACTTTTTTTCTTGTTGTACATAGTCTTCCAACTAGAGGACCCCAACCCAGAGGGCGTTCTTGGCATAGCTTAACAGGACTTTCTTCAGAACGACTAGTCCTTTATGGTGGTTTCAGTCAAAATAGTGAACCTTTAAGTAAGTTGAAGAATTATTATTATAAAATAAAACTGCTATAAGAAAAGATTGTATGAAAACATTGGATGTAAGGAGCTTTGGTAATTCAAAGAATTGATATGTCGTATGATTAGAGGGTGTTAAGGGAGAGAGAGAAAACATTTGAAAGCCAGCTCTTGGAGAATTTTGAGTATTATTTAATATTGTTATTTGTGGTAATTTTGGTCAAATAACAAAAGAATAAACAGAGTTAATAAGATTGTTAGATAAAAATAGTAGGTTTAAAGCTTTAAATTAGAACTTAGTACGTGTAAGGGTACTTTAGGCTTAGCTATAATTCAGCTTACTGGTAAATCATAAAACATGTTAAATACATAGATTGTATTTGTTTAATAAAACAAAGGACTAGTTTATTGTCTCTTCATGTTTTGAGGATAAACTTGGTTACTTGACTTAGATACATTAGTTTAAATGCAGCTTATAGGTTGGTTATAAATCAGGCTAAATGCATTATATTATTACATAAATATCAACTAAAGTAAAAGACTAGTTTTATGTCACTTCTATGTAATTAAAGATAAACTTAATTGCTTTAGTGAGAAGATAAAGTAGTGATAAAATTCTGTTATGTTTTTGATTCTCAAATGCTAGGCTTAACAGTGTTGTCAACAGGCTACTGGTAGTTAGTGTTGATTATTTATTCCCAGGCTATAAATACAATGGTTTAGACTAGTTAAGGAGTTAAGCAATCACAGTTTGTTAGGTGTGATGGGTGCAATGAGGGGGTTTCATTTGAGAACTCGGGACTGGCATGTACTTTTAAGGAAACTAGCAGTAAAGATGTACAATTTATTTGTAGAGTTTGTATGTTGGAGGAGAAGTTGGCAGCTAACCTAATTAAAGTAGAGACAATAGAGAAAGAAAAGTGTAGACTGTGGGAACTGACAGCAAGATTTCAAGAGGAATTTAAGCTTTTACATGCAAGGGATACATCAGCTGACAATGACTTTTAGGAAGTTAGAAACAGTACTATTAGGAGTAAAAATAGTGTATTTAGTTGTAACGAGCATGTTCTGTTGAGCAACAGATTTCAGATTTTGTTTGCGCAAATGAAGAACTATTAGAGGAAAGGCAAAAAAAAAAGAGAGACAGAGAAGGATGTTAATTTATCTACTTCAGGATGTTATAGTTATAGGTTTCTTGTACAAGGCATGTGGATAGGATACAGACCATTAGATAATGTAGATGAAATTAATGAGAAATTTTACAGTGAGATTAAGATTTCAGCTGTTAATGATGAGTGATTTTAGTTCAGGCATATAGATTGGGAAATGTTAGAGTCAAACCAGGAGAGAGAGGGGTTTTTGGAATCTTTTCAATTGGTCAAGAGACTTAATAGAAACAATACTATTTTATATTTATTGTTAATTCTAATATAGAAGTGGTTGAGAGGGTGGAAATTAAAGAACATATGGGTGTAATTGGTCATTGCTCTATTAGCTTCGATGTTGTGCTGCATATGGAGATCAGGAATAATGACAGTTTGGTTACAAATTACAAAAATTTACGCTTTTCTACACTAGCCTAAATTCTATTCGAGATTCAGCAACAGAAAAAGAAAAAACACTGGAAGGGGGAAAGAAGTGTGAGAGGATGGAAGAATCTATTGGAAATATATTTTCAGTGTAGGAAAATGTTAACTTCTGATACGATATCTTACTTCTACTCACAGAATAGCTAGAATCCCTTATTAACCTGGTGGAGGGACTGGTTTAACAGTACCTAGATGAGCCTCCTTCAGAAAATGTGCAAAGGAGGTCCATGGAGTGTGTGAATAAACAGTATGGAAGACACACCTGTGAGAGACTGCAAAAATTAAATAAAGGGATCCCTGTTGTAGAGTGGTTAGGGTGCAGCATATCATAAGGGGGAGTTCATCCTCAACCAACATGAGCAGTACCGTGATAGCAATATCAGACTTGTGGTAGGAAGAGGGTCCTCTACCATTTACTTTGGACATGGAAACTGGAAGGGAAGAAGATCTTCTATTCCAAGGACCCTCATCATCATGTGTGCATGTACAACACCAGTACCCCCCAGGAACTGATGTCTGGAAGACAGTAGGAAGGAGGATGCCCAGCCACTGGGTTGAACTGCATTTTGACAGAAATCATCCAGCCCATCACCAGGTGGCATCTGGAATAACACATCAGGTCTTTACACCAGCTAAACACCACCACCCTATTGAGCACAAGACTCCCACAAGAAGAAGTGGGGGAACAGTGCATTGGAGAGTCCAGAGGAATGCAGCACCAGAAACAGTGCAATGGGTAACCATGAAACCCTATTTTGAAAAGCAGACCATTCCTGAATCAGTTAAATGAAGGAGCAGCAAGGATGGATAGCATTTCCCTTCTTCTTTACTAATGTTAGTTCATGAATGTACACCATGAGGCAAAACCTACAAGCAGTCTTGCAGAACACCCCATTTCAATGGTGGGCATTATTGACCTGAATGGTTGAACAGTCCAGGTTTAAGAATAAGGATACCTAGTCAGGCAACACTCACTACTGAGCAGGATCCATACATGAGAGAAAGGCCCCTGTAAAAAAAAAAAAAGAAAAGTAGAAAAGGAGCATTGACCCACTCTTAGAGAAACCATGGAGCTTAAGATGGTGAGGGAGGTAGATGATAACCTGTAGAGCAAGAAATGGCCAGACGATGAAGATAATGAGAAATATATGTATGGAAAGTGGTCCACATGCCGGCACAAACTATATCCTGTAATAGATGACAGAAACGGGCAGTCAGGAACTTTGTAAGGTGACAGATTTGATGGGAGGAGACATGGAGTAGATCACAATCATCAGGAGACAGGGAAGAATAAACTAGGTGAATAAGCTGGTGAAACGAATTCATAAGGATAATAGGAAAAATATCATGGGAAATGAAAGGGTTCCAGTGAATGAACAAATGGAAAGGGGAACCATGGGCAGGAGCCACTTAACAGCAGAGAGCCCATACAGGACATAGAGGCAATCCAGATCAGAAAGATGATAAAGGTGAGGAAGGGGGGGAAATGGGACTGGAGGCAAAATTGCTCTTATGTGAAGCTGATGTTTTGGGCAGAAAAGACCAATCCAGGCAGAGGATGTCACGAGTCCTGTGATGTAATGTGCAAGAGATATCAAGAGCAAACAAATCTGAATGTTGACATCCACAGGCCAGAAGGAAGAGAAAAAAGGTCTTTAACTCCTTTAATGTAGAAAAAAAATTGTAGAATTTTATGGCTACCATGTAATAAAGTTTTTGAAAATATTTTTATTGTACGACATCAACTGTATGCAAAGAACATTGTGTGAGAACTTCACAATAACCTTTAGTTTCACCACTAGTTATGATAAATCATTCATACATGTGACAAAATAGTGTACGTTTTGGCCACTGTCACAGATTCAATGTCAATAGTTATGCTTAGTATGATAGATTTCAAAACATAGTGTTAGACACAAAGCAAAATCACACTCTTCACAAAAATATCTTGTTTCCCTCCTTATTTTCTTCTTATCTGGTCCAGTATGAGAGCAACAAACCTTGCACCCTCGTGTTGGAGTGCTTTTGCCTTCATTTGGTGGAATAAACTTTTGGAAATGACATCCGGTTAGTCACAGAGGATTTGATTTGTTCAGTGATGGTCTTCCTGTATGAGGAATCGTGGCTGGATCAGGATAAGTTTCAAGAATTCTCTCAATCAGCTTTATTCAGCCCAAAGGGACAGCTACATTGTCTTTTTTGAATAGAATATAACTGTTGAGCACAGTTTGATTGAGCAAGTGGCAAAATTGTTTTTTGTACCACACTTTATGTCTCTCATGTTCTGCTGGATATGCATCTGATCCATCATGTCTATGGCTCTCATATTGTTGTTGTACATAAGCACTGCAGTGAGTGTTTGTTTATCTCCCCGATGTGTGTGTGCGTGTCGTCATTTCATTTTTGTGCAACATTGACAAGAGTGTGACCTCTCTTTTATCTGACCACTTCATAGCCACCATGTTATATGTATACATTGCAGTTGTTTGACCACGAGAAATTTTCTTCTTCAATTCAGAAGGCATGTGTTTTCAATTTATCCTTACAGTTCCCACAGTATCAGTTTTTTCATATGTAGTTCTCTGAACAGGCTCGGTGAACTATACCATTGTCACAGATTCAATGTCAATAGTTATGCTTAGTATGATAGATTTCAAAACATGGTGTTAGACACAAAGCAAAATCACACTCTTCACAAAAATATCTTGTTTCTCTCCTGATTTTCTTCTTATCTGGTCCAGTATGAGAGCAACAAACCTTGCACCCTCGTGTTGGAGTGCTTTTGCCTTCATTTGGTGGAATAAACTTTTGGAAATGACATCCGGTTAGTCACAGAGAATTTGATTTGATTAGTCTATGAAAATACAATAGTCTTGACCAAGGAGGTCCTTAGCAAGTGTCAGCACAATTCGTGATGATATGAGACCATCCATTGATTCTTCTAATTGCATTACTTGTCCAATGTGAACAGTTGACTTCCAAATATAGCCTATTCCGCATTCACACAGTTTGTAAGGCTTTAATGGAATGTACTGTTTCATGTCCAAATGCCCCTTCCACAGCATCAATGATTCATCAATAGCCACATGTTGTTCAGGCACATAAACAGGGAAGAATTTTTCAATAAGTGCATCAAAAAAGTTTTTGATTTTCCAGAATGATTTCTCTGCGGCTGATGTGGTCTCTGGCATTGAACTGTTATAAATGAAGTGAAGACAATTCGAGAGCAAGCTGAAATGCAGTCAGTCATTTTCTGCCTGATGTACAGTGTCTTAAGCAATGGTTTTGTTGACCAATATAGCTCAACCCCAGGCTTTTGAATAATTCTTTGATAGATGAACACTGCGAACAAAACCATCATTTCATCACTCATCATGCCAGTCCACTGGTTGAATCTGGATTTGTGCTTCAAGGTCGAGCCCTCAAT